GGCATGAAGCGCTCTCTGCTGCGGCTCTGCCGGGCGCGGGAGAAGGCGGCCGCGGCCAGCGCCTACCAGGGCGTCGTGTGCGAGGCGGATGCCGCCTCCGTCGCCTCGCAGGATGTCTTCAAGGTGCGTGCGGAGGGGCGGCGGGCCCGGGCGGGGAGAGAGGGGTGAAGGCGGAGGGTGAGGTGGGTGAGGGCGCGGAGGGTCTCTGGAGGCAGCTGAGCGGGCTCGGCAGGGCTGATGTCCACTCCTCCAGGAGACCCTGCCCGCTCGCTCAGCGGGCCCGGGAGGGAGGATCGGTGTGGGACGGGAGCCGGCTGGGAGCTGCCCTGGCCGTGGGTGTGAAGGCACAGGACGCTGTGGGGCCCAGGGTGAGCGGCAAGGTTGGGGAGCAGGCGAAGGAGGATGTGAGGGGCAGGCTGCTGACACAGAACCCACATTCCCCCCGGGCAAGAGAGACCCTCTCGCAGAGGGAAGCAGAGGTCATGATGGAAATTAGTAGATCATCTTAGCAAAAATGACACGAAAGAGAAGTTTAGAAGCACTGGAACTGTTGCAGAAGGAAAGGGAACCGTCAGTGGAACCTACAAAAGTGATTTTGCAGCCAGGAAGGGCATAATATCTTCCCATTTTTAATATAGGATGAGAAGTCGTGTATTTGTATTGCCACTAGGGAGACCTAGACCAAACTTTAGTGAAGTTTTTTTTAAGCATAATTAAACAAAGGAAGAGTTTGCTTACAGGATGGAGGATAACTTGGATAACTTTGGAGATTTTCAACAGCAGGCTAAACAAAAAATTTGACGAAGTTTGTAAATGGCTTTAAATACCTCCTGAGGCCATTTCAGTACACACATGTTTTCAGTGTGCTAGCTGTAGACTTGAGCAACACCTCTTCAGCACAATATGGTTTGTCACTCTGATGGGTGATCTGTCACTACAGAGCTGTTCAGGCACAGGGCAAAGGAGCTGCTGTTGTTTAAAACAGCTTGCTTTGCTGTTTTTAACTAACCTAAGGACTGACAACACTTAACTGACTTCTTCCTTATTTTGTTAGTGAAACACTGCAGTATTGGCTGATAAATCTTACTTTTGTCGATAGAAATTATCATCATGCCACATTTTGTCTTATACTGAGCAATAAATCTAGTGTTAAAAGTGGAAAAATGTGGTCTAGATCAATAGAAATAATAAAGGTAGAATGTTAGAAGGAACATAAAATATTTGGCTCTCTAATGAGTTTTTCTTAGATTTTGATGTGTTTAAAATGTATAGATACTGTGTGTGTGATTGAGCTGTTATTTTTGTGTCAGTTGATTAAATATCCTTTCCACAATTATATCACATGTTTTCAATTAGCTTTTTCTGACGCCACTTTTGAAGCAGATACCAGCCCTGTATTTGGCCTTATAAATGTTTAAACATTTGGTCTTATAAATGTTGAAACATGTTTGTAACATTATTGACATGAGTAACCTCACTGAGGTCAGTGGGATTGTTAAGCTGAATGAAGGTAATGCTCAAGCACATGAATGGGCTGCCCTGTAATGTGTATTTGCTTAAGGACAGCAAAAATTTTTGAGTCTTTGTGACTCAGGGGATCCTGGAGAGCAGAGTTTTCCTTTTCTTCTGCAGGTGTGAAGGGAGCAGTGACTTTAGGGAATAACCTTCTTTTATTCTTCACTTGTTTACACACCATTTTAAGGTTTGCATTACTTTAGATAAGCATTTTTCTCCTTTTTTGCCACCCAGTGTAGTTGTAGTTGTAGTTTCTTTTTTATTCTCTCTTAAGTTTTAGTATCTGTTTCTTAAACTCCTGCCCATTCTACTGCAATCATGTTACTCTATCACTTTTCTTTACATAGAAATATGAAGTTTGAATAACTTTAACAAAAATATTTGGAGAATATAATAAACCAACAATCAACAGTTTCCATAGTGGGCTTTGTTTGTTAAGCATAGTACCCCTGGAATGTATCAAGCTGTCAGTGGGCTCATTGGGAAGATACTGAGCTGTTTCAGGCTGAGATAATAGCCTGATGTTCTAAACATGCTGCTGCAATTAAAAAAATGGATTGGTTTCTCTGACACAAAGAACATCACAGAAGCCCAATGGCTGAACTTGAAAGCTAAGGACACATTATCAGTCTCTGTAAAAATATCTAAAAAAAGGATTTTATCAAGATTATTAATTTACCTCTCCGTTGAATTCATTTTACATGGCCACTTCAAGAAAGAGTATAAAAACATAAGTGATGGATTAGCTTGTTTGAGATTTTCCATGCTGAAGGGATGATCTTGATCTCTCTACAGAAGGCAAAACAGTGTATCCAAGATGATTTTCAGTTTTGTTAATTTTGCACTGTTTCTCATCTGGATCTAATATTGGAGTCAGTTAAACCAATAACCAATCCGAGTTTTGCTGTTGGCGCAAGCGGAACAGGATTTGTGAGCTTCTGCATGAGCCCAAACAACTGGGCGGGAGCTATTGAGTGGTAGCATGCCCACAAAATCACATTATAGCTAACTTCCTGCCTTTTAGGAGAATGAGAAAATGAGAATGATTTTACCCAAAACAGGTTATTTCAGATGGAAGTGCCTGCAGGCTACGGAGCTTCATTAAGAAGAATCGTTCTGGGCTTACCAAAGTGGATGAATTAAATGCCACCCCGCTGCATCACGCTGCAGAAGGAGGACAAATAGAACTAATGCAGTTGATCATTGATGATTCTTCCTGTGAAGGTAACATGCATTTTATGGACTACTTTATTTAGCACAACAAAAAAGTTCGATAGCCAAGATGTCCATTACATAACTGAAACAGGACTGATTCAACTGTGTTATCTCCAATTATAGATTCAAATATAATTCAAACTGTTTGCCACAGTTTGCATTGTCTCAGGTGTGATTTGGGTTGGTCTTGCTATGTAGGACTGTTTTCACTCTAATGCAGTGAATCAATATGTTTTGTTTTGTTTGACACCCAGATATATCAGATGTGAAAAAGAAAACAGCAGTGATTGAGCAGAAGACTTTGTCTTCCTTATTCACATTATGTGTCTCTTATATAGTAAGCATTGTGAACTACTTCAGACTCCATTGACAGACCTGTATGCTGCTGACTAAACCTACAATGGCCCTGAAAAGTTTTGTTTTTTCACCTATTGATGGCCAATCCAATTTTAGATTATTCTGGCTGAAATACGTAATTTTTTATTTTCAATCTGTCATTTTTGTCCTAATTTTTTGTGATATTTGTTGAAGTTTATCTTCAGTTTTCAAGCTCAAAATATATGTGTAGAACAGACCATTTTTATAACTAGGGTGAATTGATTTACTTTCGTGTTCTAAAGTGAAACAGAGTAGATCTGGTCTTTAATTTTCTTACAGTTTGCAAGCACTTATTTGTTACCTCTTATTTCAGTTATTCACACTCATTTATTCTGTGCAGCCTCTAAAGAAATAGCTGCAAAGCCAAATAAAATAGGAAAAAGAAGAATCAAAGAGAGGGGGAAATCAAGTAGCTTCTGGGTGAGGGAAAACATGTATTATAATGGGCAAGAAATAGATGGGCATTTCACCACTCCCATTCTACTCACCAATATTGTGTATTCAGCACATTATTTAATCAATTGAACACAATGCCTGCATCATCTTATGAAATCTTTCCCTTTCCTTTTCCAAGGAAATGCAGTAGCACAGACCTAAACCTGACACTGAAGATACGTTGTTTTTTTTTTTTTACTGCAATCAGAACATGTGATGGTCTTGCTTTGTTTTATGTTTAGTTTTGTTTCATTTTCTCTCCTTTGACCTAGTATTAAATGTGATGGATTCTTCTGGAAATACCCCACTGCACTGGGCCACAAAGAAAAACCAGGTTGAAAGTGTTCGTTTGCTTCTCAGCAGAGGAGCCAATCCAAACATTCTCAACTCCAATATG